GCTTGATTGCCCCGCAGATAATAGTGTGCAATAGCTACAAGACTGTCAGGAAGATCAACTAGCTTTTCAGTAAATATTTATCAAGCGCTCACTAATGAGCAGAGTCATGAGGATGACTGCTCCGTGCCCGACGGTTCACAGGCAAAGGACATGGTTTGCTCCAGATCTGCGCCATTGTTATTGCCATAACTAAGTTCAGAAGGCTGGAAGGTGGGAAAACTATTTTAAGGATCAAAGGTCAAGAGGAAGTACATCACCCTGAAGTCAGAAACTTTTTATTTCCGGGTAACCCCGTGAACCAAAGCTGATCTGAGGGAGCCAGACCTGCTCGTGAGGTTCTGTCTCGTTGCTCTTCTGTGTGACATCTCCCTCCTATCCACCTACCCGCAAAAGACCTGCTCTCATCCGAACAGGCACTCTCTCTCCATAGAATGCTGCCCCTTTGCTTGATTGTTCTGTAGCAATGTCTCCCCTTTCTTCCTCTAATACTCATTGAGCACTAATTGCCTACTCAGCTTAAACATTATGACATTTCCAGAAAAGAAGTGCTATTATTAGCTCTCATCTCATAGGTAAGAGACTTCAATTTGGAATAGTTAGTGACTTGCCTGGGGTCACAGGGAGAAACTGGTGGCGCTATACTTGGATAACCTGTGATTTAACTTCAGACTCGGTTGCGTCTTCTCAGACAGACTGGTTTATTTATGCTCCCACAACCAGAGAAATGAATCTGTACTTGATGAACCTCTTGCTCTCAAACTCATCCTGGTCCTTATCACTACGGGGACCTAGACATTGTATGAGCCACATCCGTTCCCTCATGGACTGTTGAAGGTCACCCTACTTAAACATTACTGAATGGAATCATTTTTTAGTGAAAAGAACTGAGCCCTGACTTACAGTAAGGAGTCATGAAACTGGAATCAAAATTAAAATTTGGGGAAAATGTTGAGTTCTTTTCAAAAACAGAGTGCACCCATGAAGAAATTAGGGATAATTCCATTTATTTACAAACTCATACTTAACATTAAGTAAAAGCAGAACACAGGGGCTCCTGACGGGAGCCTGGCTTTCTTGCTATTCCCGTCTCTGAGAGAGAGGTATGAGATCACTCTCTTCTCCACTTTCTGAGATGTCTTTCAGTGATTTCCACATTTTACTTTCTGGGATTCGGGGTGGGGGGTGCCAGGTTACTGTGTATTGCTTCATACATGTTTGTTTTCCCACGATGCTTAAGTGGAGTGACTTTTTTTTTCCTTCTTTGGTCCCTGGTTAAACCTTCATTTTGCTTAGAGAAAATTGAAAGCCCCTGTTGCTAAAAATAAGAGAGATGAATTGACAGTTAAACGTATTAAATAAAAACATTATATTTGGCTGAATGTGAGAATAGCAAAACATAAAAAGTACCATTATAATATATTCTACTTCTCCTAATTTGACACTAAGCTGCTTGCTTTCTTTTATGTGTAGTCAACATCAGTTCACCAGAAGGATGGTAGTTAAGAAACAAGCTGTTAAATATTAAAGCTGAATCTATGTAATTGAATGTTTTTGGTATGGCTGTGTTCTAAATATATGCTATTAAGTTACTGTTCCACAAAGATATTTAATTACCGACATCTAATCATGTTATTGCTGTTTCTTTAACCAAGCAAAAATATGAAGTACCGGAAAAAAAACAGTTTCATTTTAGACAGAAACATTTTATTAATTTCGGCAATAAAACCAAACTCAAATCTCCAAATGAAATCATCCCATTTTTAAAGATAGCACTTCTCAGTTTGCTAATCCTTGTGTAATGCTGAGATAGATGGCTTTACTTAACGTGTTCAAACATTCCCACAAATAATGCATGCAATAAAAGTTAATTATGCTCGTTTATTACATCAAAATAAAATCTAAACCATGGAATTCACAAAGGACAATTTCATAGTCAATGGTGGAGCATTTATAGATGTTTATGGCCAAACATTTTTAATGCCATAGACAATTTGGGAAGACATTAAGGCGACAATCAGAAAATCATATCTTTCACTGGTATAGTGCTTGCACAAATTCACAAACATCACATTTCATCATAACAGCAGTAGTGTGAATTAGGCGAGGAAGATACTGTTAGAAGAATTTCACATATGGGGAAATGGAGGCCACAGAAATGTGACTTGTAGTTCACATGGCAAGTCCAGTGGCAAAACTGGAATTGGGACACGAGGCTTTTAATTTCAATTCTTGGGAATTAGAAGATAGGTTAAATGTGAGTTTTATAATAGCGGTTTCTGATGGTCATTCTCACATTTTTTAAAATTAAAGGGGTATTGTTTAAAATGGTATGGCCAAAATGATTTGACCAAGAATTATTTTTCTCTCAGACCAGACATACTAAATGTTCTGAGTTCATGGAAATATCAAAATAATGGCTTTTGTTTTTTTCCTTTTTCTTTTCTTTTTTCCTTTTTTTTTTTTTAGCTTACAAAGCCATCTTTGTTAAAAGGTAATATTTCAGATTTTTTTTTTTACTTCCTGACTTTTCTTCTCATCTTCCTTTTATTTCCTCTTACAAATAGGTCAGTTTCTACTAGGAGAATTGAGAAGCTATTTCTCCCTAATATCTGTGAATGCATTCAGAGAGGCAAGTAGGAAGTAAAAATGACGCATCTTGAATGCTGAAATAATTTTCTAGGAATGTCACTTATGTTAAGCACTGACCAGATGATTCTCGGTTCATAATCATAAGGAAGGAGTTAGGAGATTTGAAGTTTGATCACTGCATAAAAAATTGGACACACCACTATCTTATCTCAGTTATCATTTAGACGTTCAAAATAAATCAGCTGACCAGCTTTATAATTCCATAACTGGATTAGAATACCAGCCTACTCATCCAATAGGTAGGAGGGAGCCCAGTTGGGGGTTCAGCTGCCATGATGGTTAAGTATGTGAATTCAGCTTTCAGAATGGTTCATCCAACCTGTCTGGGACAAAATTCTGATTTAAGATTTTTTGTTTTCTAGACGAGGAGTCAGCAAATGTTTTATGTAAGGGGCCAAGTAGGAAATATTTTAGGCTTGCAGGGCATATAGTCTCTGTTGTGACTACCCAGCTCTGCCACTGAAACACAACAGCTTCCACAGCCAATATGGAAACACATGGGTACAGCTGTGTTCAATGAAGCTTTATTTACAAAAACAGGGGGTCACAGGCTGTAGTTTGCCGGTCCCTGATCTAGACCAGCTGGATTTTGTTGTTCTATGAAACATTATGTCAAAAATGCTGAATTTGGTTGTTTTTCCAACCATTGGTTTTGGCGTATAAAATTTCATTTATTATACTTCATTGTCAAATAATAGCCTTACAGTTAAGTTGTCCTTGCTGTTTTTTTTTTTTTTCCTGAGTTTCTTACCTGCAAACATTTATTTGGATTTATCGAACAACTGCTGAGTCATAAGCAGAATTCTTGGCACTGGAGAAATAAAGGCTCAAAGTATCTTCTTCTGGGACACAGTAGCCCGTAGAATGGGTATTATAAACGAAATACATGTGAGCGTCATGCGGCTGGTGTGGACATCTGACAAAGGAGGATGGGGCTTCAAAAGGAGGTGCGGTAGGGGCTCAGTCCGTTAAGCATCTGGTCTTGATTTCAGCTCAGGTCATGATCTCAGGGTCGTGATATCCAACCCTGCCTCAGGCTCTGTGCTGGGTATGGAATCCGCTTAGGATTCTCTCTCTCCCTCTGCCCCTCCCCCCACTCTCACTTGCATGTGTGTGCTCTCTCTCAAAAATAGATAAATAAAGTCTTAAAGAAAAAAAAAAAGGAGGTGTGGTAGATAGAATAATGCACCCTTGACCAAAGCAGCCTATGTCCTGATCCAGAGAACCTGGGAATATGTTTTACCTTACATGCAAAAGGGACTCTGCCGATGTGATTCATTTAAGGATCTTGAGATGGGCAGCTTACTCTGGATTTAGCCAGGTGGGCCCAACGTCATTGGAAGGGTCCTAATGAGGGAAAGAAGGAGGCGGAAGGGTCTGTGAAGGGGAGGGAAGCAGAGGTCAGAGTGATTTGAGGGAGAGGTCATGAGCAAGGAAATGCAGGCTGCTTCCAGAAAATGGGCAAAGCAAGGAAACAAAGTGTCCCCTGTGGTCTCCAGAAGAAGCACAGTCCTACTGACACCTTGATTTTAGGACTTCTGACCCCCAGAACCGTTAAGATAATGTTTGGGTTGCAGTAAGTCACTGAATGTATTGTAATTTGTTAGAGCTGCAACAGGAAGCCAACTGGGGGAAGAGTCCGTTCCTCTCAGGTGGGGTGGGACACGGAAAGGATCTTGGGGAGGTGGTTCCTGCACTGGCTTTTGAAAAGATCACTGTAGTGTTCTGGAGGGCAGGAGAGGGGTGGGGAAGGCAAGTGTGCAAAAACAGAGTTGGAGAGGCAAAGGGCTTGGTGTATCTGGGCAATGTGGGGAAATTGGCTAACTCACTGGCTGATTGAACACAAAGTTCTATTCAAGCAGGGTTCTGGAGAAAGAATGAAGTAGGATGTGTGTGGCGAGGCAGGGGATATATTTGTAAGCTACTGTGGTGGTAAAGTGATATGGCCTTTGCTCATATGCCCCAAAGCTCTCAATGTCATGGCTGCAGAAAAGGGGACCAACCCAGCACCTCTGCTCACTGTTGCTGAAATTCAGTAGCTGGGGGCTGTGCTATGATCCTTTGTCTTCCCAGCTTGGTCGCCCCTCAAGGGCGGCTTGCAGCAGCAGGGGTGGGGAGAAATGTTGCAAAAAGTGTATTCTGATTCTAGTGCTAATTTATTGACTAAACTCTTTTGGACCCAAAACTAAACTCTAAAAGAAAAGATAGCCAGGTGCTGGGGGAGCGCTCACATGCTGAACTACACTATTACGTTGCTCAAAGCAGATCTCTGACCCTTAAGCAGAAAAGGTGTCTATGTTTCTTTCTTTTTTTTTCCTGTGTAAATACTTTATTCTGTTTCTACAGAGGATATTGAAATTTACACATTATTTTTAAGACAACTAATATACAGCTAACTGAAATAAAATACACAAGAAGCTTTATGAGTTATGAGATGCAGATGAGAAAACCTGAGAAGTTTTTAATTTAATTTGCCCTACTGGGAACATCAGGACTTCTGGACTTGATACTGGCCTTGTATATCAAATACTTTTTTCTGTAAGTACTAGCTGACACCCTTCCAAAGAGCACGTTGTACTACTGTGTCTAAGAAATCACTGAATAACTAGGTTTTCCATCTTATCAAAGTACAAAGCATTACTTCAATTCTAGGCCCTCTGACAGAATGTATCTATTTTTACTAAGTTCTTTAATGAAATTTTATTAAGAAATTATTGATTCAGAAAGTAAATACAAGGCATCTTTATATTACAAAGAAAACCAAGAAGACAAAAATCTAGTATTTTAAACAAATTCCAAATTCTGACATTTGGAGCAGTATGACTCCCAGATTATCTTTTTCTAAAAGAGATTTCTTCCAGCTTGTTTCCAGACTTCTTTTAATCCTTTAATGCTTTCTCTTTTCACACATTTCCAGTATTCCTGTACACTTTGTTGTTGTGGTACCCATAGACCTCGATGCATCCTGCTTTTTAAAACCCCGAGAAACTCTCCATGACTAAGACATTCATCACCATCCACATCAAAGATCTTGAAGACGGTGTCCAAAATATTGTTTGAGAGCTCCTGTCCTGTTGCTACTTTCATGGCCCTCTTAAACTCCGCCAGTCTGACAGGACGATGAGCTAAACTGAACATCTGCATAGCAATAGCAAAGTCTTCCAAGTGGGTCGTAAAGTGACAAAATGACTTGAACTCATCCAAACTAATGCTCTCTCCTGCTGACAACTTCTCTCTTACATTTTTCCAATAGATGTCTTTATTTTCAGTGTCAGTGAAGAAAAGTAGCCACTCTACAAAGTCTTCTTTTCTCATGAAACTCAAACCTTTAGAAAACTGAAGGAATCCCATTTCTTGGACCTCTGTTTGTAAATTCTCCATAAATCTTCGAAATTCCCAATAATGAAGTTTTCTTTCTCCTCTTTTTCCAAAGAAATGTATCTGAAGGGTTGTGGTAATTTCAGGTTCTTTCACTGTTGATTCCTGGCATTCCGTTTCATTAGCTATTGTCGTCTTCAAGTCATCTTGTTTACTCATGATCTTCTGTAGCTTAAAAAATTCCTTTTTCTCAACTATCTCATTACCATCTGCATCCAGCATTTTAAAAGCAACATGAAACCCAGTATGAGGTTTAGTGAGGATTGTAAGCAAGAAAAGATACTCAGTATACGAAATTAGTCCTTTATTGCCAAGGTCTCTAAAAAAGGTTGAACCACAATGAGCTGGTTGGATTCCTGCCAGTATCTCCTCGATATCCTTTTTTGTCAGCTTCTTCACTGAAGTTTTACGTTCCATTTGGTCAAACATTAGTCTTGTGGTGTCATATAATATTCTCCTTCATGTTCCAGTGAAGAAAACTGCATGAAGCGCTGTTTACGAAGGGACAATTTTTCTCCCATCTCTTCAGAGTCAACATTTTCCTGTGCTAAGACGGTGAGGCTGCCCTCGGGTGCCACGACATTCAAGCGGCCACGGTACCATGCCACTCCTGTGCCTGCCAGGGCCACACCGGCCGCTGCCTCGGTCAAGGGGCCGGGGCCGGGCCAAGCTCGCCGACCGGCAGTGATCCCACGCCGCAGTCTTCCGCCCCAGGCCCCCAGCCAAGCGCCTCTTGCCACAGCGGCCGCCATCTTTGCGGAAGCGCCCCATCACCAAGGCGTCTATGTTTCTAATCGAACACATTATCAGGTAGTTACTAAATATAACTGAATACCTTACACTGTGCTCATGCGGCGTGCATCCTGTCATAAAAAGGCAACCTAAAGTTTTGGTCATGTGTGTAGAAGTATGTTTGTTTCAGAAAGATATGCTTCTCTGATCATTGGTTATTTCTGTGTCCATCATAAAAAATGGGGTAAAGTCTAATTGATCATTGGAGAAATGACTTTTCTCTGGTTATACTATTTAAGAAATGAAAGGGGCTTTGAATTTCTGCATTTCCTACCAGGGATGTGGTCCCAGGACAGCATTTTCAAGTGGGAATAGCTCTGACTTAGACATATGCAGTAAAATAGGAAGATGAAGAGAAAGAAAATTCATTAGTGTTTCCCTTGGACAGATGCTCAGTTTTCTTTTATAAAGCTGGAGTTACGCTTACCAAAGTTTAAATTCCAGTGTGCCGTATTTGAGTGTAAACGACTTGAAGGTGAGGATCCTATCTATTCTTCATTGTTCTTTCATAGTTCCTAATATAGTATCTTACACACTCTAGGTGTTTGACGATTAATGAATGAAGAAATAAATTAAGGATAAATGAATGGTGGGGCACCTGACTGTCTTAGTCGATGGAGCATGCGACTCTTGATCTCAGGGTTGTGAGTTTGAGCCCAGCGTTGGGTGTAGAGATTTCTTAAAAATCTTAAAAAATAAAATAAATGAATGGGTGGATTTTTCTGCTTTATGTTGGTAGAGTTGGAATGGAGAAAAGAACAGAAACGATGATAGCATTTTGGCCTTGTTGCTTATTGCCGTATTTTCTTATCTTTTCCAAACTGTTTTATTGAATTGGATTTCTTTTTTCCTCTTGCTTACTCCCTTCTTATAAGAATGGAACTCTCTTTTCTAGGGACTGGTGAAAAAAATACCATGAGGTTCACACCAGGTTCACAGGACTTTAAACAGGAATTCAAACCAATTCTAGCAACCACTGAAATTCTGATCTCTTTCCCCATCCATGTCTGTGCTGTACGAGAGGATATCATATTACCGCACTTTTAATAAGATTCAGTCATTCTGATAAATATAAATTATTTATCACTTACTCCCATTTTATGGCCTTGATGGTATTTAGAATTATATTAGCCAGCATCATAATGCTCCGTTTTCCACTTCTCGCAGTACTGAGCCCCTCTGCTAAAGGGACAAGTTGGCAAATGCAGTGTAAGGGTGACAGCCTTTCCAACAGATAGATGACGTGATTGTATAATTTAATCCCAGCCACTTACTGCATAGAAGCCTTTATGAAGGAGAGAGTCACATTAGCCATTTCTCTGCTTCAAGGATATAAGCAAAGGGACATTAATCTTCTATGATTGAGGTATTGGTTTGATTGCTTGGCAAGCATGCAGCGCCCTTCACCAAGAGTGGAGTACATAGCATGAGCTATGTGGGTTGTTAGTCTCCCATAACAGCTTGATGAGGAGCCCTCAGATAGTTCAAATCAGAGACTGTCTGGGAAGAGGTGCCCTGGCAGATAGCTGAGCATCTAATCGCAGGGAGAGAAATATGAGTGCACGAGGAGACTGGAGATCAATGCATAGTGGCTTGCTGAGGTTATTAACTCCAACACCCTCCCGGTTGACCTCCAGAACCCAACTCTGTTCCTGGAGGTGAACAGAAATTAGCAGAAACCAGAAATAAAAGCAGAGAGAAAGGAAAGAGTTGATCTGATTTTGTATGACTCAGACTAGAGCATTCTCTGTCAGATGCCTGTGGGCATGGAAGGGATAGTCTACCTTACAAGATACAATGTAAACTGATGCAATACTGGAGTTGAGATTTGGCAAGTTGTTCGAAGTTTTCCTCAAGCAAGGTAAACAGCCGGTGTTGAAGATCATCTTGTCAGAGATAGGAAACAGCACCTGTGTGAGTTAAGCAGCTGGATATGTGATTCAGGTGGACAGTCTGGTTTTGGGAACATCAAAGATGTACACACCAGCGGCACCAACAATAAATTAATTGGAAAGGAGGTGCTGGCCAAAAGACAAGAAAAATGAAGTAATCAATATGTCAAAGGGAAGTTGTTTGCAGTGATGGATGTAACATCTGATAGGTGGTGACCTCCTGTGAAGAAGTCAATATTGATAGAGTTAGATGGTCACTTGGGGATGTTTAAAAGGGGGATGGGGCCAGAAAATGTGCTCTCTATATGGATAGACTGCAGTGCTTTGGAGAAGCCAGTGAAATATTAATATGGAGTGATTTCATGGATAAGCAATCTTGGGATTTATTTAGACTGAAAAGTATTTATTCAAATAAGTCCTTCTTGGCACAATTATGCTTCCTTTTCACTCCCAACATCCCCTTTCACTTTTTTCTGTGTTCTCATAGTGAGGAAATTGCCAAAACTCCTTTCATAATTGTCTCCTGGTAGAATATATGCTCTATGAGGACAGAGAGGGGGGTTGGGTTTTTGTCCCCTGCTGCATCCCCAGTGCCTAGAATAGCATTTGGCACAGAGTATGTGCTCCATACGCATTCACTGAGGGTCCATATTCCCTTTTTGGTTTTCCCTTTCTGCTCATGGTTGATTTCTGCACATTCTTCTGCTTCAGCTTGCTGCTAGAACCCTGAGCTAGCTAAGATAAAACAAATCACAGAAACCTTTCTTTGGAGTTGAAAGCATTTCTGATTTATAACTCCCCTTTCCCAACAATCTCAGTAGAGAGAATCTATTTTGTAGCGATTCTGACTATGACGTTACTTAGTGTTTGATGACCTTCACATTGGGGAGCTCACTTCCATTCTCAATTCTCCATTGCATTTTTGGAGCTATTTCACTGTTTCATTGTCTTATAGTTAACTTAATACACCTTCTTACAGTTATCACATACTTAGGGTTTTGCCTAGCACCAACAATGTAAGTCTACAGACAATCCATTATTTGAAGAAAGACAAATCCTTCCCCCCATACCCCCCATATTATCACAGACAGTCTATGTTAGTTTGTAGACTCCTCACCGTGCTAGCAATCCCCTTTTGGATGCATGGTAGTTTGAGAATGACTTCTCTTAAAATGTCATGCTCAAAAATGCCTCTGTTCCAAAAAAATATATACAGTTTGACCAGCACAGAATAGAGTAGAACTATTCTCTTCCAAGAATTGGGGGGGGGGGAAACATGTATGGGTAAGGGTAGCAGGAACAGTATTAAACAGTATTTTATTGTTGGTTCAAATAAAACTTGTATTAATGATACCTTTCTGAAGCAGTTCTGACTTTTTCTTTTCACTCATGCTTCCATAGACTCTATGATCTTTTTTATTCTTGATTCTCATTTCAACCTGTTGTTGGGATTACTTTGTAGCTTGATTGTTATCTTTTTCTGAGCATTTATTCCTTCCATGTTTTGCATAATCTGCATATTTGTAAGCAGGCTTTCTAAATTTCCATCCAAGTTAATAATAACAAGGTTGACCAGGACAGAGCCAGAAAGCAAGCATTTTGTCTTTCCACTGGAAACTTTGTTTCAAGCTTTCAGTGGCTGCTAATCCACCTTTTTCGGTAGATCTCCATTTCAGCTAGCATTAAACTATTTTATCCCCAGGTATATAAAGAGACACCTGATCTTGCTGAAATCATGATAAAAGTGACATATGTGTCTGAACAGCATGCTCTTTATCTATAATTGGAGTAGACCTATCAAGTAAGAAAATGTACAAATCAGATCTCACCTCTAAGTGTGGAAAGGAAGGATTGTAGAAAACTGGTCTTCTGAGACAGGCAGAAACATATGTGGAGTCCTGAGAGATACCCAATCAGTAGTTTCAGGTTCAATTATAAGCAGGGGTTCTTAGCCTAAATGGAATTCAGAATCACCTAGTTGGGGGTAGAATCCTGGGCCCTACCTCCAGATGTGCTGATTCAGTGGGCTGGCATAGAGTGGAGGAAATTGTGCTTTCATTGAGGTTCCTTAGGTGGTTCTAATGTAGATGGATGATAAGCTGTATTTGGACAAATAGTGTCTACTAAGACCATGGAGAGCATCAATCTTGGCTTTTGTTCATTATCTCCCATACTCTCCAGGACCCCCCCCCCGCCCCCGCCACCCTTGGGATGCTTGCAGATGTCATCTTTTGCTCTTGACTTTTGCACTTCTTTCTTGATGTTTAAGTTGACCCATCCTGTGATGCATTTGTTTAGAGCCTTTCTAATATACCAAATATGGTTACACATTTAATATTAAGGTTGAAGCCAAATATATTGCATTTGGTTGGTTCACACATCTCACCAGGCTTCAGTGTGGCATATTTTAAGAAGGGTTAACCTCTGTATAACCTGCCAACAATACCGCTGTGTAGTAGGCTTCTCTGCATTTATTTAATGCCAGATCCAAGTATATGGCCTGTGAGTCTGGTGAGAATAATACCATTTATTGGACAATTGCTATGGGCCAGTTACCTTTTATTTATTATTTATTTATTATGTTTAATCATCGTACAAGGGTAGAGCCAAAATCTGTGGGGCCTGAAGTTGAGAGGTTCTCTTTAGGGCAAGGAATAACAAGTCCAAATACAGTATTAGGTGTGGAGCCTGGAACAGACCCATGCAAGTGAGCAGCCCTGAAGACGAAGCTTCTTCAGCTCCACTGCAAATTGAGGGTCTCCAACAATGCTAAGAGATAGATGTGTATAGCTCATGGTAAAACTGAGACTCAGCTAGTTTGAACACCTTGCCAGGGATCACCCAGCCAGCTACAGTAGAACTGGGATTTGAACCCAGACCCGCCTCACTTTGAAGGTTATAACCCCCATGTAACAATGGACCTCTTCACACGAAAGATGCCCATGGCTCCCAGTTGCTGTTGATTGTGGTGGCAACTTGGTTTAAGATGTCCCCACACACGCTGAATTGAGGATGAAGAAGAATGAAGAAATCTGAAGTGAGAAAGGACATTTGGTTGATGTAGAAGG